ATCCGCCTGCCGGGCTTCCCTGGTGGCGCAGTGGTTAAGAATCCGCCTGCCAATGCAGGGGACAAGGGTTCGAGCCCTGGTCCGGGAAGATCCCACATGCCGCGGAGCAGCTAAGCCCGTGCGCCACAGCTACTGAGCCTGCGCTCTAGAGCCCGCAAGCCACAACTACTGAAGCCCGCGCGCCTAGAGCCTGTGCTCCGCAACAAAAGAAGCCACCACGATGAGAAGCCCGCGCACTGCCATGAAGGGTAGCCCCCACTCGACGCAACTAGAGAAAGCCCGAGCGCAGCAACGAAGACCCAATGTAGCCAAAAATAAATAAAGAAAAAAAAAAGAAGAAAAAAAAGAATCTACCTGCTAATGCAGAGGGTATGGGTTCAAGCCCTGGTCTGGGAAGATCCACATTCCACGGAGCAACTAAGCCCGTGCACCACAACTACTGAGCCCGTGTGCCACAACTACGGAAGCTCACGCACCTAGAGCCTGTGCTCCGCAACAAGAGAAGCCACTGCAATGAGAAGCCTGTGCACCGCAACAAAGAGTAGCCCCCGCCCGCCGCAACTAGAGAAAGCCGGAACGCAGCAATGAAGACCCAACGCAGCCAAAAATAAATAATAAATTGTTATAAAATTTAACATCTTAACCATTTTTAAGTGTAAAGTGGCATTAAATACACTCACATTGTTGTGCAACCATTAACACCATCCTCCTCCAGAACTCTTCTTCATTTTGCGAAACTGAAACTGCCTATCAAACAATAACTCCCCATTCCTCCGTCCCCCCAACTTCTGGCAACTTCCTTTCTAGTTTGTAAATTTGACCAGTAGTAGAGTGGAATCATACACTTAGCATAATGTCCTCAAAGTTCGTCCAAGTTGGAGTGTGTCAGAATTTGCTTCCTTTTAAAGGCTGAAAAATATTCCATTGTATTTATATACATTGTTTATCCATACATCTGTTGATGGACACTTAGGTTGCTTCCACCTTTGGCTGTTGTGAATAATGCTACTATGAACATGACCCTTGAACTTGTCTTCAACCCTGCTTTCAATTCTTTTGAATATATACCTAGGCGTGGAATTTCTGGATCATATGGTAACTCTACTTTTTATTTTGGGGGGAACTGTCATACTGTTTTCCAAAGTGGCTACACTATTTTACGTTTCCACCAGCAGTTCCAAGTGTTCTAATTTCTCCACAGCGTTCTCAACATTTGCTATTTTCTGATCATTTGTTAACAGCTATCCTAACAGGTGTGAGATGGTATCTCATTGTGTTTTTTGTTTTGTTTCGTTTTTTGGCCACACTGTGCCGCATGTGAGATCTTAGTTCCCCGACCAGGGATTGAACTCGTGCCCCCTGCAGTGGAAGCATGGTGCCCTAGCCACTGGACTGCCAGGGAAGTCCCTCATTGTGGTTTTGATTTGCAATTTCCTAATGACTACTGATGTTGAGCACCTTTTCACGTGGTTACTGGCCATTTGCATATCTTCTTTGGAGCAATGTCTATTCAAGTCTTTTTCCCATTTTACTTTTAAATTTTCATTATGTTTTTTCTACATCGAGTGGCTTTCAGGACCAGGGATCGAACCCAGGCCCTGGCAATGAAAGCGCTGAGCCCTACCTAACCACTGGACTGTCAGGGAATTCCCTCGATTGTGTCTTTAATCTGGCTTTTAAAGTAGGAAATACTAAATTTCTGCTTAATAAATAAAATGAATGTAAAAAAATAAGCTTTAATATATTAGGAGCAGTGAAAAGCAGGAATAACAGTACAGAAAGAGAGAGGAAATGAAGCTGAAGAGAATGTGAAGAAAGAAGAGTGAGGGAGACAGAATTGCAAACGCAAAAGTATGCAGTTCTTAGTTTGTGTCAAATCTTTTTTATATATATTTTATTTATTTTTTTGGCTGTGTTGGGTCTTTTTAATTTATTTAATTAATTAATTTATTTTTTGGCTGTGTTGGGTCTTTGTTGCTGCGCGCGGGCTTTCTCTAATTGTAGCGAGCAGGGGCTACTCTTCGTTGTGGTACGCGGGCTTCTCATTGCAGTGGCTTTTCGTTGCGGAGCATGGGCTCCAGGCATGTGGGCTTCAGTAGTTGTGGCTCACGAGCTCCAGAGCACAGGCTCAGTAGTTGTGGTGCAAGGGCTTC